TTTGGTAGCTTGTGTCTTCATTGTTGTTGTGCTCAAGGAAGTTAATGATTTCCTCCTTTATTTCTTCCTGCACCCAACTGTCATTCAGCAGAAGGTTGTTTAATACCATGCCTTTGTGTGAGATTGAACATTTTTGTTGGAGTTGAGTTCCAGCTTTAATGCCTTGTGGTCTGAGAAGATACAAGGTAAAATTTCAATTCTTTTGATTCTGTTGAGGTTTGTTTTGTGTCCTAGAATATGATAAATTTTGGAAAATGTTCCGTGGGGTGATGAGAAGAATGTATATTCTTTATCTTTGGGATGGAGTGCTCTATATGCGTCTATCAAGCACAGTTGCTCTAGGGTCTCATTTAAGTCCCTTTTTATCTTTGTTTAATTTCTGTTTAAATGATCTGTCCAGCTCTGTAAAAGGAGTATTAAAGTCCCCTGTTATTATGGTGTTATAGGATATTATATTGCTCAGACTGAGTAATGTCTGTTTCAAGAATCTGGGAACATTTATATTGGGTACATAAATACTTAGAATTGAAACATCTTCTTGTTGTATTTTTCCCTTGACCAATATAAAGTGGCCATTTTTGTCTTTTTTTGTTTGTTTGTTTTATTTCTTATAGCATAACTGTGTACATTAATGCAATCATGGGGTCATCTTTGTCTCTTTTGACTTTAGTTGTTTTAAATCCACATGTATCTGAAATTAAGATTACAACTCCTCTTTTCTTCTGAATTCCGTTTGCCTGAAAAATTGTGTTCTAACCATTAACTTGGAGTTTTAATTTGTCTTTTGAAGCTAGGTGTGTTTCCTGAAGACAGCACATGGATGGCTTGTGTTATTTAATCCAGTCAGCCAATCTATGCCTCTTCAGTGGAGAATTCAAGCCATTGACTTTTTTTTTTTTTTTTTTTTTTTCAGTTTTTGGCTGGGGCTGGGTTTGAACCTGGAACCTGCCACCTCTGGCATATGGGGCCGGCGCCCTACTCCTTTGAGCCACAGGCCCTGCCCAAGCCATTGACATTTGTTGAGATAATTGATAAGTGTGGTAGTGTTCCATTCATCTTATTTTGTGACAGTCCATTGCTTAGTTCTATCTTTTGCATCATGTTAGAAGTTAGGTTCTGTCCTTTAATTTCTGAGTTCTTACTTTGCTGTTGATCCATTGTGATGGTCAGTATGTAGAATGGATTGAAGTATTTCCTGTAGAGCTGGTCTTGTTGCGGCAAATTTCCTCAATGTTTGTATATTAGTAAATGATTTGATTTCTCCATCAATTTTAAAGCTTAGCTTTGCAGTATATAGAATTCTGGGCTGGAAATTGTTCTGTTTAAGTAGATAAAGGTAGATGACCATTATCTTCTTGCTTGGAAAGTTTCATTAGAGAAGTCTGTAGTCACTCTGATGGATTTGCCCCTGTGGGTCAACTGGCACTTACTCCTGGCAGCTTGAGGAATCTTTTCTTTTGTCTTGACTTTAGACAGGTTCATCACAATGTGTCTTGGAGAAGCTCGGTTAGAGTTCGATATCCCTCTGAAAGGAGTGTGTCAGAATCTTTGGTGATATTTGGGAAATTTTCATTTATAATATTCTCAAGTATGGCTTCCATTCCTCTGGGGCATTCTTCTTCCCTTCTAGGATACCTATAACTCGTATGTTTGAACACTTCATATAGTCCCACAGTTCTGACAGCAAATGTTCTGCTTTCTCTCTCTTCTTTTCTGCCTCTTTTACTATCTGAATTATCTCAAGAGCTTTGTCCTCTATCTCTGGGATTCTTTTTTCTGCATGGTCTAATCTGTTGATACTTTCTATTGCATCTTAAAGTTCCTTAATTGACTGCTTCAGTTCTTTCAGCTCTGCTATATCCTTTCTATATTTTTCATATCATTCATCTCTTAATTTGATTCTGTTTTTGGATTTCCTTTTGGTTATTTTCCATCATTTCCTTCATTGTTTTCATCATCTGTATTCTAAATTCCCTTTCTGTCATTTCTAACATTTCTTTATAGGTGGAATCTTCAGTAGTAGCTACCTCACAGTCCCTTGGAGGGGGTTCCTCTGGACTGGTTTTTCATGTTGCCAGGATTTTTCTCCTGGTTCTTCATCATGAGTGATTTATCTGCTTCCTTGCCCCAATTTTCCTTTCACTTCCTCTTGCTCTTTAAGTTCCTGTGCCTCTGGAATAGAATTTCGATGAGTCCAGTTCTTCACTGCTTTTGTCCACCTTATGGGGTCCAGAAGTCCCTTGCTCACTCCCTTTGTCTCCAAAGGGATGTTTCAGTGCCGATCACACCAGCCAGAGATGCCTGTAGTCTCCTCTCCCCGGACTCACCATGCCCAGTTGCAAGGAAGCTGTTAGTTGGTCACCGTCTTGCTCCCCCACCCCCACCCCGTCCCTGGTTTCTTTTGTTTTTGAGACGGAGGTCTCACTCAGTATTGATGTTATCATAGTTCACTACAATTTCAAACTTCAGGGCTTAAGCAATTCTCCTGTATCGGCCTCACCAGTAGCTGGGACTTCAGGCTTATGCCACCATGTCCAGCTGATTTTTTCTATTTTCAGTAGAGATAGGCTCTTGCTCTTGCTCTTGCTCAGGCTGGTCTTGAACTCCTGACCTCAAGTGAGCCTCATACTTTGGCCTTCCAGAGTGCTAGGATTATAGGCAGACGCCACCATGCCTTGCCTGAACTTGATTTTTGTTTGGTTTGTGAAGTACACAGGTGGACACGGGATTCAGGGGTGAGCCCCCTCCCTCCTGCTGGGCACACGGCTCATTATATTCAAGTACAAAATAGGGATTGACTGCTAACAGGTATAGGCTATCACCCACTACTCCCACAGACCACCTGAAGTCTAGGCATCAGTCTATATCCAGACCACGAAACCTCTTATATGGACTGTGAGAGGCCCAGGAGCAATGGCAGAGTTCTCTGGATTGTGTTTGGGTCAGTCCCCTTGCTATGGTGGGGCTCTTAGCTTGTGTGTGGCTCTGTTCTGCTTTACATTGGTTGATCTGGAAAACGCCCTAATTTCTGAGGGTTTGTCCTTATTTTTAAATATGGATAATGGTATGCATTTTGCATGACTTGTCAGTTTTTACATATTTTAAATAGATCTCAATAATGTTAATTACTGACGAAGATAAAAGTAAAAAACTTAAAGGGCCTCTGCTTTCCAGAGATCTTCAGTTCCTCAGAGTCTTTCCTGGAATAGAAGAGATAGTGTATCTTCCACTTGGAAGGTTTTTCCTCACATCAGCTCTGTTAAACAGGGTGGAGCTCTCGGTGTTAGGGTCTCTGAGGATGAGTCACGTCCCTGTACATAAACTGTAAAGTCATTGACAAGCAGGCTGAGCTTAGTGTCTGGAGATGGAAGCTTCATCCTATATTGAAATTAGGCACTGGAAGAGCAGTGTCACTTTACTGGGCAGAGCTGGCCAGGGGGCCACGTTCACCTGCTCTCAGTGCCCCATTCGTGTGGGGTACATTGGATAAGGAGGAGATTTCTTAGATGCCCGTGTCAGATCATGATTGTAGCTTTTTCTCTTTCTCAGTAATGGGAAGTCTCTACTGCACCTTCTTCCACACCTCATCAGTGTCTACCCTCGTTAGTAGAGACCATTCTTGGGACTGACCCCCTACTCTGCAACCCTTTGGTGTTGGTGGGTTTTTGTGGGGGGGGGGGGAGATTAGAGGTAGGGAGGCAGAGATGCTGTGTTAGAACACTGCTCTTCAAGTCATCAGGCATCTCCAGTGTTCCTCCTAGGGCACAGGGCTTCCTCACACTCACTGTGGCCTCCCAGGTGTCACCTTACCCTGAGGGTAGTTTGTCAGGGTTCATCCACCTAGTCAGTAAGTCTCCCCCTGGTGGCTACTGTCCATAGTGAGAGCTGTTCTTGCTTGCTGGCTCTGTGCTACCTTTTCTCCTTTCTATGGGTAATGTAGGGTTTTCATCACATTGGACAATAGGCAGTTTTAGGACAAAGTGGGCAAACCCAAAGAATTTCCTGATCATCTCAGCACTGACCTCAGAGGATGCAGCCAGTGTCCTTGCTCTTTGTGTGTCCACTGGAACTTCCCCTGTGAACCTGCCATAGGCCAAATTGCCAGGGGCACTTGGCACCAACTTCATACAACACTTCTCATGCTTGCTTCCCTGCTGCAGTTTCACTTGGTTTTGGGGCTTTATGGTAATGACGTGAGTTTCCTAAACCCCAGTAAAAGGCTGCAGTCTGAGAGGGTGGGTGCTTCTTCCCTTGACCGGGGTGAATCTGTGCCATCCCCACAGTAGTGCCTGAATAGGCTAGAACCAGGTTTAGGGTGGCTCTTTATGTTGGCTCTTCCCTCCCAAGCCATTGGATGTCCAAGGACTGGGCATGGAGGACAGCTTGCTCAGCAAGCCTGGCCCAGGGAGGAAGTGGGCTGAGGCACCTAGAGTGCCCTGTTCAGGGAGATTCTGTGGTATATCAGACTAAGTTCTTGCAGACCCCAGCTTCTTCCCAAGAGGCTGGGAGTTAGTCTTGGAAGCAAGAAAGATCACTAAAGAGGGAGGTGGTTGAAAAGACCTAGGCAGGACCTTCTATGGTGGGGCTCTGGGTGGCAGGCTGGAATGTCTCTGGACAGGTCCTGGCATGGGTAGTTGTATCCTCTCTCAGTAAGAGTGGGTGAGGTGAGTGCTCAGGTCAGGTGTTGTCCTGTCTCTTAAGTATCAAGGGCCTGGTGAAGAAGGTACCTAACCAGAGTGTCAGTCCCTTTGGGCTCCCATTTCTATCCCAGCTCTTCACAGAGATGTATTTGCACAGGCCGCAAATGCATTCCCAGGCTCAGAGGGTCCTGCCTTGGATCCTGGCACTTCTTCCTGTCTGCTACCTCTCTTTGTACAGGTGGTCCTGGGCTCATGATGAACACCTTTCCCTCAGCAGGCTGTCTTCTGTCCTCAGCGCTGCCTATGCTGTGTCTCCTGACCCTGATACAGGTCTCCCCCTTTCTTGTCCCCAGGTGAACCTGAGCAAGGTGGGTGAGTATTGGTGGAATGCTATCCTGGAGGGAGAGGAACCCATTGACATTGACAAGATCAACAAGGAGCGCTCCATGGCCACGGTGGACGAGGAGGAGCAGGCAGTGCTGGACAGGCTCACCTTCGACTACCACCAGAAGCTGCAGGGCAAGCCACAGAGCCATGAGCTGGTACAAGCCCCACAGTCCTTCTGAAGAGCCCAGCCTTTAGGTCTTTGTGGTGCCAGTGACCAAGCTGACTAGTAGCAGAGGGGGTGGCACTGCTGGTGGGGAAGAAGAGGGTATGTGGATGGTCTGCCCAACTGGGTTGTAGCCCAGCAGAGGTACTGTTTACCTACTTTTTCCCCTGATCACTGCCTAAGGAAGGGCACTCTGGTCTTTCAGCCACATTCTTACACCCATGCTAGGAGCTCAAGTAGTGGGGCCTTGGAGGGTGTGACAGGTGTACTGCCCACACTGGAGCCTAGTGACATCAAATGTGTTAATGGCCCTCACCTTTGTGCCTCATCTACATGCGACGCTTCCCTGGACCCTTGGTGGGGGAAGGGAGAGAGCCAGGCCAGAGGGCCAGTTTCCACATGTCAGACCAATATGTGGGGACTCTATGAAGCCTGTGGCCAGTTGGGGAACAGGAGGAAAAAGCTTCGTGTCTGACCAGCATAGCACCCCATGCAGAGGACGCTTGTAGCACACAGAGTGGTTACTTAGACTTTCTTCCTATTTTAATAATCCCAAGAGTAGTTATTTAGGGGGAAAAAGGTGGCTTTCCTCAGATTATTTTTAACTTCCTTGTCCCATATACACAGCCGTTGGGTTTGGGTCACCATGTGGCAGGGCATGTGTCTCCATTCGTGGAGATGGGTCAGTTGCTGGGTGGGGGCCAGTCTCCTTAGTTTTGTTCTATAAACATAAGCACACCCCACACATACACACCAGAAGCCGCTCAGATTCATGTGTTTTCCTGTTTGTCTCTTGGAGGAGCCTTACTTTGTGGTTTATTTGAATTATTTTCATCTTGTCTTCTCATGTGGCATGTACTCCATCAGTGGCTCTGCAAGCCCTGCCACAAATGTCAGCCCCTCTGCCTATTTTCGATAAGCCCATCCCACTCCTGAAAGGTCAAGGGGCCTGTGGACAGGAGCACCAGCCCTGCCACACCAGGGGCACATAGTAAGCTCTTGCTATGCATAGGCAGGGCGGGGCCTTGCATGGCCCTGAAAAGATGGTCTGGTTTTCACAATAGAGATGTGAGTTATAGAGCTACAGAACATGTTATAGAGTTACAGAACATGTTCGGGGTCCCCCAGCAGCTCAAGCAGCAGGAGTGAGATTTGACCTCTCATCTGATTTCAGATCTTTTTGTCCTCATGTCCTTGCCCGCCCGCCACCCTGGCCTAAGTCTCCATGGAAGAGAATGGTCATCTCTGCTTGACCCCATTTTCAACCCTAGGGCATAGGGTGGTTGAAGGACATCTCTATTTGGCCTATGTCTTGGAGAGGTCACAGTGCCCTCACGCTATACTCAGTGCATGCTCAGATCAGCTCAGCTGCTTAGACAGCTGGGCCTACCTGGCTACATTTCAGTCCAGGTATGCTGTGTTTGCCTGTAGCCACCAGATGGAAGTGTCCAGTCTTTGAACCCTTGCCCTGTGGGTGGACCTTCTCTTGGCAGCCACTGGGGACAGGGACCTGAGGGGCCTGCCTACCTTCTGTCCAGGTTCAGTACTGTGTCCACAAAAAAGCTGAATTATATTCACAAGTTGACCTTTGAGGGGAAGAGTCTGTTTTGAGTGGAGAATATGAACAGAGATGCTGATTACTTGGACGAGTTAGAAGGAGGTCCTGCTAAGCACCCCTTCATGCCATAGAATAGAAGGACTAAGGGTGGGTGATTCCACAGATCTTCCCTAGCCATCAATGCTGAGACTTTGTTATAGATAAACAATGAAAATTAATTGTGGTTTGAATTATATTTATTCATTTGTCAGAGGCTTGTAAGGTCTTCTGTAGACTTCAGCTGTGAGATGTGGCAGAAGCTAGAATGTCCTATGGCTTTCATCTCTCAGTTCTCAGATTTCTTGTGGTGGTACCTCTTTCAGAACATGTTAGTTGGCTCGGCGCCTGTGGCTCAAGTGGCTAAGGCACTAGCCACATACACCTAAGGTGGCGGGTTTGAATCCAGCCCAGGCCCGCCAAAACAATGACGGCTATAACCAAAAAAATAGCTGGGCGTTGTGGCAGGTGCCTGTGGTCCCAGCAACTTGGGAGGCTGAGGCAGGAGACTTGCTTGAGCCCAGGAGTTGGAGGTTGCTGTGAGCTGTGATGCCACAGCACTCTACCCAGGGGGAAAGCTTGAGGCTCTGTCTCAAAAAAAAAAAAAAAAAAAGAACATGTAAGTCAAAAACAAAACAGCAGTAATATCTGCTTGTCAAGGGAGTTGCCATTAGTGTCAGGGCTTCAACTGGCCGTGCTCTCTTTTTTCTTTTCGCCATCCTTCCCTTTTTCTTCCTGTTTCCTTTTTCCCTCTCTTGTATCCCTCCCTCTTCTTATTCTTCTTTTTATTCTCCCTCCTGCCTGTTTTTTGCATCCTGTGCTGATGTCCTGATACTGCCTTGTCTCCTTCTTCTCTGGGGCATATCAGTGAGAGGGAGCAGACACAGATCTGCTTTCATGGCGCTAAGATTCCAGCCATTTTAATCTTATCTTCTCCAAAGAATCTCATGGATAATCTTTGAATCTCATAGATAATTGTCCCCTAGGAAATAAATGGCTATTGTCTCTCCATTCCTGAAGATCTAAGGGCTTCTCATTCTGGTGATTGTCACACACCCCAGGAAGAGAGTGGTCTGTTCATTCCAGGCAAACTCAGGTAGTATCAGGAAAGTTCTGGGCCTCAAATTCATATCAAGATTGCCAGCCTGGGGTAGACCAGTCTCAAAGGCTAAGAAATGGTGGTGCCACACACCATACGTGTACACTGTCCCAGGGTGTATAGGTGCCATGTCTTCTGTGCCCTGTGGCCCTGTTCCAATAGCAGTGCAGTGGGATCATCCTGTTGCTATTCTCTGGGCAGGGTGCTTTCCTGGTCCCCAGGGAACTACAGAGCCTAAGTGTGGAACAGAAGGTTCCTGCGACAGGCCATGGGGGGTGCCCCTGAATCTGATTCACAGCTGCTCGTGACCTAGTCCTGGGAGCCCAGGGACTGGGCAGTGACCCAGATAGGAAGGATCCAGAGAAGAACCTGGAAGACACTGGTCTAATGGAAAGAGCTCTGTGTTTTGAATCTAAATCTATTCTGCTATGGACTTGCTGCAGTCGGGCAGCATGCTCACCCTTAACAGGGTAGGTGTCCCTGCCCAGAGGATGGTACCCAGAGCACAGGAGATTTTCAGTGACATGCAGGAGCACAGGCTGGTGGCATGGGGATGGGACCCGAGGTGACCCCCCACACCAGGGTTGATCTCCTCTTCAGTAGTCAGGAAGCCTCCGTGGCCAACAGCTTGATAGTAATGAACCAACCTTGCAGGGCTCTGGTAGCTCAGGGTGAGTATGTGCTGATGATACCAAAGTCTCAACTTTCCTCTGGGCTTAACCGGGCCTGGGGGAGAATTTTTAAAAAACAAGAGCCCTGATTCACCAGGGGTTCCATGCAAAATGTCCCCAGTGACTGTAGCTGCCTTTTTTTAATCGAATGTAGAAGATAGACCTAGGAAGGTAGGTCCCTGCCCTTAAGTAGCCTCATTTAACAGTTTAGCCACATTTTGCTCAGTTGTCATCAGGGATAGCTCACAGGCAGGGGACCCTTTTGAGAGTTCTGTGGTCAGGGTCATGTCATGGATCAGCAGGCCTCACTAGTGAGAGAGAACAGAAACAGGGCCAGGTTCTCCTGTCAGCCTCCATCTGCCATGCACATTGGCATAGTCGCAGTTACCAACGTGCTCTGGCATTGCTACTCATGGTGTGAACTGCTAGTTTTCTAAATTTGCCAAGGTTTCAAATTATGCTTCTAATGCCATAGACACTGTGTATTTAAAGCTTTTTATTATGAAATAACATTTTTCTCTTATTGTTTTACATTCTTTTATATCACTATGAGGTAACTTCTTTCTAAAAGTCAACAAATTTGATATCCTTCATCTTTTCCCTAATTTAATTTCTTTTGAGCAGGATTCTCCCATCTAGAAAAGGAACATGGTTTGTAGAGGTGCTGTTGTTCAATCTACAACCAGATGGGTATGTGTCTAGGATCTCTCCAGCTTGATGGGACTGACCCTAATAGTCAATAGCTATGACATTGCACAGGCAGATACCAACATTAGCATAATGTATGGGCATACAGTAAATTTGGCAACATACGCGAAATCCTGCTCTCCACCTTTGCCCGGGAGTAATCTGAGCAATGACTGTAGTTCCCTGTACTTCCTTGGTTATAAGGCCAGGTCTCCTAATCTGCATTTTGCATTATTGGCTTTCTATATTGGGTCTCCACCCAGCCACCTGGTTCCCAGGGTGTGGTGGCTGCAGGGCTCCACACTTGTTCTCTGGATGGGTTGGGCTCCATTGAGGGGTTCACAGCCCTCATGTGGCTACCTGTTGAGGTCATCTGGTTGGTCCATTCCTGTATTTGGTTGGGACTGGTCTAGCCCCACATCTCCAGTGGGGAAGGATAGGCCAGGTCTTCAGGACCACACAGAGGGAACTCTTGCAGCCTTCCCTGCTCCTCTAGCCACTTGTGTGTGCCACTTGCTCAGATCCCACTGCAGCACCTTGCTCTTGAAATGGTCTTTCCACAGTTTTTGAGGTGAGTTACCTTAAGAAGTTGAGCATAATAGTGATTAATCCCTAATATACATTAAGTGACTTTGATTTGCTTTTTTGCTGCCTTAGTTTTAAAAACAGGAAAAAGAAGTCCATGCATGGTGGCTCACACCTGTAATCCTAGTACTCTGGGAGGCTGAGGCAGCTGAATTATCAGAGCTCAGGAGTTTGAGACTAGTCTGAGCAAGAGTGAGACCCCCATCTCTAAAAATATCCAGGTGTTGTGACAGGCACCTATAGTCCCAGCTACTTGGGAGGCTGAGGATCGCTTGAGCCCAAGAGTTTGAGGTTGCTGTGAGCAATGACATCACGGCACTCTACCCAGGGCAACAAAGTGAGACCTTCTCTCCCCCCCCCCCAAACAAATATATATATATGAGAAAAAAGCCCTCTTAACAAGAAGACTGGATTTTTTTTTTTTAAACAAGCTCTAGCAAGTTTTATTAAAGAAAACATGTACATGATTTACTTTTCCCAAGTGTATTCTGGCATGCTTCTAATGATACCAGAGGCACATGAATCGATGGCCAGTGTGCATACTCTGTAGTATTTTCCACATGCTGTGCCCAATTCACTACTATTGCCACTGTAGTGATGAACACCAGTTTTAGCTAATACGGCATAGTACTCTATTTCAGATTTCCTCAAAGCTGGGCAGTTGTTGTTGAAGATGACCAATTTTGCTTTGCCTTGTCTGGTCATCTTCAGAGTCTGCTTGTAACCTAGCACATGCTTTCCATTCTTCATAATGAGCTGGAGCCTCGAGTTGATCGACTCCATTGACTTTTTCATCTTCTTCGTGGTCACCATCTCCCTGCCTTAGGTGCAGGACGGCCCCCAACCAAGACCAGCTGCCAAGATGGCCGGGGAGCAAGAAAGGAAGCAAGAAGACTATGTTTTATTTAAGGAGAGGCTGTAGTGCTGAGAGTCCAGCAGCCTCATCAGACACCACAAGTTACCCACACTGCTCTGGTCTGTTAGCCTTGTAATGAAAGAAGAGGTATCTCTCCTGAACCCATTCTGCAGGGCTCTCAGTGACAGGGACCATGAACCACATTGGTAGGGGTCGCCTCTGGCTCCGCACACAGTCTCTTTTGTCTGTTGTGGTCAGAAGGTCACAAGATATGAGAGGTCACTGCACACCTGAGCACACTTGCGGGGCTAGCGGAAGCGGTGCAGAGATACTGTTAGAAAGGAGAACACTTTACCTCAGGTCGAGATGCCTCCCTTAAGGGTACAGTCTTCCTGATATTGCCTGGCTGTGGCCACACACCTTGGCCCTGCTTCTGGTGGCTAGATAGTTTCAGAAACGCCACATGCTGGGACGAGTTTAGTCAGCCAACTTTAACTATCTCTAAGGAAGCAGTGGGGAATTCCTAACTGGCAGGTCTCCTGTCACATCCTAAGCCACCCCTGGATTGTCAGATAATGTAATTCTCAATGCTGAGAAACTTCTCCCTGGGGTGGCTCCTGCTGAAGCACCCTCTCTGTACACCTCAGTCATGTTCCTGGTGGGGCTAGGGCACTTGCTTTTTACATGTTAGTCCCTGGAGGGCCTGGAACACTAACTGCAACCCCAGTAGGGCTAGAACATTTGCCCTGCGCGCCTTAGTGTCTGGTAGGGCTATAGGCCTTATAGGCTATTAGGCATTTGGACAGAGATCCTGGTGGAAAAGGGACGGAAGTTGAACCATAGAGAGTGGCCATTGTTTTGCTGGAGACAGAAGATGGAGAGTTAGAAATTCAGTGCGGAGAGCACAGTGTTGCAGTTCTTGGCAGTCACCCAGGGCCTCCCCTGGTTATAGGCTGCTCCAGGGCAGTATGGTTCTCTGGCCAGTTGGTCTTACCAGGTGTGTCCCCAAGCCCTGAGATAGCAGGGAGGCTCTGTGCCTGCAGCCAGAGTCAGCTCTGAGAGAAAGTACGTGGTGCTTTGTGATTCCCCTTTAATCTCTCTATTTTCTGTTTGTAGAAAGTCCATGAGATGCTGAAGAAGGGGTGGGATGCTGAAGGCTCTCCCTTCCGAGGCCAGCGATTCGACCCAGCTATGTTCAACATCTCCCCCGGGGCTGTGCAGTTTTAATGACCAGAAGGAAAGGAAAACCCTCGCCAGCAGGGAGGCAGAGGCCTTGTCCTCAGCTGCCCTTCTCGGCTCCCTGCGTTCCAGGGATTCGCTCGTCTTGTTCATCCCTAGCCATCCTTTCTTTCAAGGATGAACCAGGCCTTCTACCCTGACCTTGCATCTCTAGACTGTTCCAGAGAAGATGCAGGGCCAGCTGCTTTATGGCGGTCACTGTGGCCAACACTGAGTGAAGGTGTTTGAAACTCAGGAGGGTACATCCCAGCAAATTGGGATCACATGCTTTTGTCTCCACAGCAACCAGCCACTGCAGGCAGCGCTTCTTTCCTTCTGTGCTCTCTGCTTGCTGTTGTTTGATGCCGTTCTGCTCGCTTTGCTTCTGGTTAGTGGTGTGGAGTTGCTGTTGGGCTTGCAGGTGAAGCTGAAGGTGTGACGTGTGGAGCGTCGCTTGCCTGAGGGCAAGTGTGGAGTGATGTGCAGCTGTTTCTGGGGCTGCTCCAGGAAACTCCTTGCCGCTTGACCTCTCATTGGGTACATGCATGTGCAGTCATGCTCATCCCTTTGTTAATGTGCTCTGCCTGCCTCATCCTCATGGGTAGAGCAGTGGAAACTGGAGTCCACTCACGTTCTAAATGCTGGGAGGTTATGGCCTTAGGGCAGGCACAGTGGGGCTTCTGTCTGTTGTCTGACAGTGGCTGCCTTGCTTTGATTCTTGCTGAAGTGGGCCAAGCCCAGCCACCACTGCATGGCATGTCCTATTTGGCTCCCTGTGAGACCTCATTGGGTGCAGTGTATCAAAGCGTGGGCAGGAGTGGAGAGCTACCACCCTCAGGAGGAAACCACAGCATGTCCAGCAGCCCATCTGCAGAGCACATCAGACTCAGGTCCTGAACAGCCTTGACCTCGAGGGGCCTCTGGGAGGAGGAATTTCTGCACTGGGCATGAAGGCACACTGTCTCACCATGACTGAGCCAGAGAAAGTAAGGACTACCCTGTCACCATCCTCTGTTCCATGTGCTGAACTGTGCTCCCTGGGGCTTATGGCCCCATCCCACCAGTTCTCCAGGGACTAGCCACGACCTCGGGACCCCTGAGCCTGTGCCCTGAGCCATGGCTATTGACCGACTCCAGCCCAGGTGTGAAGACCCAATTGTGAAGTGTGGGTCAGAGCATCAGGCCTGTGCCTGGAGTACTCCCAGGGGCACTCTTTGTGCCTATCACCAGGAATGTGGTGCCGCCACTACCAGTGCTGTCCATTTGCCTGGCATGGTCTCTGCTCCCTGGTACCATGTACAGCCAGCAAGAATCAAGGCCTGAAGATGCTAAGGAGGCCTACTGTCTTAGGGAAAGAACCCTGTTCCCTACAAGCTCTCTCAGTGAATATGTGGGGGAAGGGGTTATCTAGTAGAGTAAGTTCGTAGTTGGTCCTTCCAAAAGCTTCCACTTTCGACTGCATAGAAGGGAGCTGGCTTATTGTGGTCATTTGGGGGTAGATTTCTGGTTTACAGTGGTGGCCAACAGTCCTAGTAAGAAAGCATTCCTGGGAAATAATCTGTGGGTCAAAACATGTCACTTTGATTGTCAAGGGAGAGCAGAGGGCCCCAAATACATGTACTCATTTTGGAATCAGAGCCCTGTGGTGTAATATCTAGAACTGAGCTGGCAAGGCCCCTCTGAAGAGGTCTCCACTCTGGGGAGCAGAACTCTGCAACCCATGAAGGCTTCCGAAAAAGGCTTTGTCATGTTTTCCTGGAGTTCCCATCAGAGTCCTAGGATTTGCACACCATTGTGCTGCGAGAGCTTTCCCAGCTAATGAAAGGAGGTCTCTCAGAGATTTATGTGTAAGTCTCCTGTCTTCTCTTGTCCCCAAGTTAACCCCTACCTTGTGGACAGTCTTCCAGAAGGAGTGATTAAGTAGGGTGAGAGTGCCCTACACTTTGTTATTTGGGAGACTTTGAGAGTCATTCACTTCCATGGTGAATTCTGTTTGCCTGATTTTATTTTCTGTGTTGCATTTCTCCCCACCCCCTGCCCTGTAATAAATGATAAACCAGCTGAGGGGCAGTGTTGGGTATTGGCCCATGGCAGGAGCAGCCACCTGCATATGGTCTCTGTGCCATGCTGTGGTGCTTGATGTGGTCATGGAGCCTGTCCCTATGCACCTTGCTCCCGGTAAGCCACACAGAGCCACACCATCTGGTGGGTGATTCTCTGACCCGAGGCACCACCCTGGACCTGCGCTGCCTCCAGACCTGGTGCACTCTGCCTGTTTTCTCTTTTTAGAAACAACAACTGCAGTTTGGCCACTAAGTCCCACCAGCTGAGGTCTGAGGAAAGCAGGGTGACTCATTCCCCTTGTCCAGGGGCCCAGGAGAGTGGGGTGTCCAGCCTGCAAAGTTGCTCCAGCTCCTCAGTGTTGGTTTGCAATAAATCTGTATTTAAACAGTTCTGGGTCTGCGCGTGACATTTGCTGCTGAGGCAGTTCTGTCTATGTGTGGTCATTACCTGTGATTGGGGCATTCTTAAGGGTTATTATGCCCTGGGCAAGACTATAAACACAGCTTTCAGAAATCCTGTAAGAAGAATGTAGCTGTAGATCTTACAAGCAGGTTCTGGGATGCTGTAGTTACTTGAAAGCTCCAGGTGAGTGCAGTATTCTAGTCAGTTTCCACTGGGAGAAGGGGAGGACCTTGATTTGTAGGTGCACACCTGTCATTCATTACCTGTGCTGAGCTCTCAGAACACAGCTTCCACCAGAACATAACCCAGTATCTGATATGGAACCTGCTCCAGCTGCCAACTCCTCTCTTCTCAGTCAGATCCTAGGCTCTCCCTGTCTGTACCCTTGTCCTGCTCACTGGGGACCCATCTCATCTCAGTCTGCGGCCTCTAGACCCCCACAGAGGGCAGGTCCTGGGGGTGTGTGAAAAGTATTTGGCTGAGTTAAAAACATTTCAAACACTAAACAGTGGAGAGACATCTTCAACAACTTTGCCCTGAAGAGTGCAGGGGGGAGAATAGTCCTGAGGTGGTTTATGTAGAAACGTGTCCAAGAGGCATCAGCTGCTGCATAGAGAAGTTATTGCCCAGAGCACTTTTGGGGGGGGGACCCTCACCCCTACCTCAGATCTGCTTCTCACCAGGCCAGCTGGCTGCCACCTCAGGAAAGGAACAAGTCTCAAAAGGGAGCTGGCTCACTTTGTGAATGAAAAGTACAATAGTTGTTAGTGTGGAATCCAGCCAGCCTTTGATAAGTTCCCTCCTCTTTGGTCAGAAATGGAGTGATCCACTTGGCCCAAGGTCCTGAAGAACTGAGCTGTGTCCCCAGTACTTGGAACTCCTTGTGGCCAGTAAAGTTCCCATCCTCTGTCTGAGGGTCTAGGGAACAGACTTCAGAACCAGGCCGCAGCCCCGCAGGGTGTTCGCTGAACACTGGGCACCCCATGTGGACATGGGCAGAAAACCCCAGGGACCTCCCCTGCCAACCCTGGATAGGACAGTGCAGTCACTATCTCGGTAAAGAGAAACATTAATATTCTGTCATTTCAGACAGAACTCCTTAGTTCATACTAATGTAGTTTTGCTCATTTTATCTTATTTTCTTGGTTTTATTTGATATTGAAAACTGAATGACCTTACCTTCAAAGGGAGAGAAGTAACCCTCTATCACTGGTCTCCCTTGTGCGGCGGGGGCCTGGTAGGGATTTTAGATCTGTCACCCATCCTCTTGCATCAGGGGCCCAAAGAACCATTACTGCATATATGTCAGGGAAGATAGATGGGGCCCAGCTGCCCAGGGGAGAGTGTTGGGGAACCCAGAGCCCATGGCAGGGCCAACTATTGGGAAGCAGAGCTGGCTTAGTCCTGCTGGGACCACTGTATAGGGGGTGTGCTGGGTAAACCCCTGGCATGCTGGAGCTCACCATCCTCCTGGTGGTGCTGATGGAGATGCAGGTGCACACTGGAGAGAGGGAGTGCTGCCTCCTACCTAGTGGGGCCAAGGCCATTCAACTTAGAGGCGGTCAGGTTAGGAGGCACCTGTAGGAAAGATGCCTGGACCTTGGAAGTGATCCTGGCCAGCGTCCCTGCTGCCTATCTCAGCCCTGGACTTTGTTGCCCAGAGCTGAACAGGATCTGGTGGACTTTGTAGTTCAAACGCCCATTGTGCTATGGTCACAAAGTGACACTTCTTAGGCCACATGGCTTGTGGGACCCATGTTTAAGACCCCTATCCCATCCTCTCTGTGGGGTCAGTGGTTCCTTATTTCCTGTGTGCATCTTGGAGCAGGCTTCTCTGAGGCCAACAGTCTCTCCAGCTCTGCCTTGTCCCCAGAGGTAAAAGCAAGACCAGCTGCCTCAGGTACAGCCCTGGCCATCCCACATGCTGTGTAGCACTGTGCCCAAGGCAAGTAGCAGAGACTGAGATTGTCCAGTGGCTGCTGCAGAGCCCAGCCCCAGCAGGTGTTTCACAACAGGACTCACTGCCTTGGACAATTGAAGTCACCCTTGTGGCCTGCAAGCCTGGCATGTGACCGATAATTCCATATAGGGTGGAGAAGGGAGAGTGAGAACCCCCTCACACCGTATCATTCACCCACTGAAACCCTTAACAACCCAGACGTTAGCTCCACAGAGACCCATGTAGAATGGAGGGTGCTGAAGCCATTATGAGCCTCCTGACTCAGGCACTGGGCACGGCCTACATGCCTGCCAGACGCTGCTGCTCAGTCCCTTTCACTATAGAGATGGGGTCTTGCCTCCCTGCGTGGACTTTGTACAGGCGTTGGTGGGTAGGGTTCTGCCAGAGGACAAGGTGTGCAGATGTTGGGACTGGAGTCGGGTAGGGAGCATGGAGGCTGCTCCAGTCAGAGCCAGGAAACCCAGTTCAAGCCCTCTTACTACTCCAGTGGTGGTCCCTGGTGGGGCAACTGTGCTCCAGTGTGGAAGTTCAGGAAGTCCCCAAAGATTGCTTAGAATGACTAATGACCCAGTGTAGCGAGACCACACATACCAGATGTGCATGACCCATATGACACATCCCATACACAGTGGCCTTTAGGAAACACAGTTTGGGTCACTAGGGTCTGGGAGATCCAAGTGTCTATCAGAGAAGAGGCTATAGATTAGAGCTAGGACTTCAAGTGAGGAAGATTCCAGCAGCCTTGGGTGACTGTTTCTCAGTCTGATTGTGGAGAAGGTTGATAACTTGGGCTCAATGTACGTGACCATCCTTCTAGGGCTATCTAAGCCCTTCCAGGCAACAGGGCTCACTCCCCTTCTGGGCCTGCTGAGGGTCAGGGCAGCAACTGCGAGGAGGGGAGAGTTGGGTGAGGGGCTGGGACAGGTCTTGTCCAGAAAGTGGTCAAATGTACAATCCACAGCTTGTCCTCACATGGACCAACCCACCATGAGGAAGAATCCAAACTCCCACCACCACCACCCGTAGCATTCAGGGTGTCTGGGTGCTCAGAACCCAGCCTCCATAGGCTGTTGTGTCCTGGTAGGAAAGTGAGCACCAAGCAAAGAGGCCTGGTGGTGGTAAACCCTGCATCTGCCTCACTGGGGCTGGTCTATTTTCCCTACAGGACCATTTTCCACTTTGCTTTTGCCTCTACCTCGGAGAGGAATTACCTCACACTTCTGCTTTGAAATTAGTCATGCTCTGTGCCCACCGTTTCTCACATCCATGCAGTCCCCACTACTTAGACTCCCCCAGCACCACCCCTCAGAGACTTGCAACCTGCTCTGGTTTCCTCATCACCCTCTGAGACTGCAGTATGGCCTGTCTTTTGTGGCACAAAAGTCTCTGTGCAGTGGAGGAACTTGGGCACCCGTGAACTGTTCTGTATTCACTCCAGAAATGACTGACCGTGTGATTACGAGAACCACATGTTGAGCTTTTGAAGTCTCCAGAAACTTAAGGCAGCACCAACACTCAAAAGACAAGTGACATCAAGAGGGGAACAATTTTGTCCTTTTGGGAGAGGTGTCTGCACTCACAAGGACATTGTCACCCACTGCTGCCAGATGTGTGTGTGCCCTCCAATGGATGCTTTTTTCTTGTGTGAGCTTGACCCTCTCCTTCCTCACCAAGGCAGGTCTCCTTGGGGACCCTTCCTCCAAGTTCTTCTTTCCCCCTCCCTGAATCTCTCTGAAGTTCCATTGTCAGGTTGGACAGTCCAGACCAGTGGGACTTTGATGTCCAAAAGACCTTCCTCTGTCCCTGCCAAATGAGTGCCGTCCTGCCCTTCACAGCTACCTAGGGTGTTCTCAGGCTGTCTGCTCTGTGAGCCCAGGGGACATGGGTTGGTGATGGCACTGGACAGGGATACCCCGGGATCTGAGCAGACTAACAGGATGCTATTCGGAAAATATATTTTGAAGCTTTAAAAAGATGATTTAGGGGGTGCTGCCTGTGGCTCAAAGGAGTAGAGTGCGGGCCATGTATACTGGAAATGGTGGGTTCAAACCCGGCCCCAGCCAAAAACTGCAAAAAAAAAAAAAAAAAAAAAGATGATTTAGGGTGTGGTGGCTCTTGCCTGTAATCCCAGCACTTTGGTAGGCCAAGGTGGGAGGATCACTTGAAGCCAGGAATTCAACAGTGAGCTGCTGCACTCCAGCCTGTACATCTCATAAAAGCAGGTCAGGTCAGAGGCAGTCTTCTGTGTAATCCTATAATGTCACAGATTTTATTACAGAAAAAATTTGGGGAAGAGTACAGTTTCGGTAGCAGTATATAAAGACCACAGTGGCAGTATTGATCGATTCTCCTAAATAGAAGACTTATAACCCAATTTAAAATGTTTTCCCAATAAAGAGTCCTTTTGACAAACTGCTTTTAAAGAGCTCCCACTCCAGCCCCACCCTGGAGTTTGTAGTCATGTCTCTAACCCTTATGGCTTGTTGACTATCCTCCCAGGAGCCTCTACCCCACTCGCTGCTGCATCCCTAGAGCTCCCCATCTCCTCTAATGACACCTGGGAGCCCAGGACAGGGCCACAGGACTCCAGTGCAGGCTCAGCCTCAGCTCATCCTGCGGTCCCTTCCCAGTACCTATAGCAGACCCTTGGGACGTTTATGTTAATCTTCAAAAATCCAAGGAGGCAGGCCCCATCTTCCTACAAGTTAATACCCCATAGACTGGCTACAGAATTTGTTCAGCCTAGTGCAAAATGGGAATGTGGGTTTCCTTGTACAAAAATTATTATGATGGCAATAGCAGAGCATTAACTGAGCATGGACCCCTACTGAGTGCTCTGCAGGGGTTTCCTGAACACCCTGGCCCCTCCTGCCTTTAACAGCCCACCATTGGCTGAGTTAGGCCCTATACAAAGCCCTGAACAGACAACAACCTTCTGAGCTGGCTCTGCTGTCCTCACTTCACAGCTTCAGTGCAGCCAGGACTCCTGCAAGCCCCTGGTTGCCTCATCTCTGTCCCAAAATAACAG